GTGTGTGTTGTGTGTGGAGAGATAAGCACTCACGTTATGGGAAAACTGATAGGGCACCAGCCAGGTAACGGGCTGCCCTAAGACCTCTGCCTGGTAGTAAATCCCCTTGATGGACAGGAACACCTGTGAAGGGACACAACTAGAGGTCAGTCTGTAAAAATGTTATTTTGACCATAGACATTTACTTATCAGCACTAGCTCAACTGTTAAAACAGAATTCTAAATCTTTAAAGCACCAAACAGAAAACGTAGACATGCTTTCATATTCTAGCAAAAAACACTTTAAAGTACCAAATTGCAGAATTCTAAACATTTTATGTCCCACTGCCCTATTAGTTTTTATTATAAAATAATAGTCTTTATTATAAAAAACAGAACTGATATTTCAGAACTTTATTAAAATATGGTGTTTTTGAAACGTTATGGCTATAACACAGCTAGCTAAAATATAGGTTTGAGTGGGGAGCAGCGTCAGCTTGTATCGGCTGTAAAGGAACAAACAAATGGCAAATCCACGCTGGAAAGTAGGAAAAACACAACATTGCGACTGTTGGGCCTTCTTCACAACCCGACGTACCCGGAGCCTGAATTCTCAGCCGGACTGCACCTCTTCTTCCCTAACCTCCAGGTTTCGAAGCTCTAAGCAGCGGTCGTGTTCTATCCTGTCCTCCGGGGGCCTTACCTTTCTGAGCGAGCGGGACGCAATGATGTAGTTCATCCACTCCACAGTGAGGCGCCGACACAGCTGAATGGTCTGCACATGGCACTTGCCAGTGCGAGGAAAGGTGGAGAACAGGAAGCACATCGAGAGGGTGTCGTCAACGTCCCGGATGGCGTCTATGAAAGTGGGGTACCTGGAGAGCGGTGTACAGGCAGTCAGCACTGGACGTGAGTGGGATTAGCTCAGCTTTTGTCTAAAACTCACTACCAAACACTGAAATCAGGTGTAGGTTCACTAACCTGCCTATGCTTCAAAACTTCCAACATGCAGTGGCTTAAGCTCATGCTAAAAATGGCTTTTTCAGTCAGATCAGAAGATAGAGAACACCATCCTAGAAGTCAATTCATTGCCTGTTTATTCAGTGGGTCTACTAATGACATATTAAAAACTGTCTCAAACCTCTTAATTTAGCCAGTGGGAGAGATATAGCTCTTTGAAATAAAAAAGGGAGGGACTCATATTCTCTGGAAAATGATTAACTTGCAAGTCTTAATGCAGCACAGGCTGTAATATTTGTTTTAAAAGCATTTTTCAATTGCTAAGCACTGATGTCTTTGGCGTGATCAAGCAAGTTAAATTAAACAAACAACCTCTCGAGAATGGAAGGCCAGTACTTGATTACAATATTTTGTCAAAACCGCACACATATCGGTTTAGACCATATAAATAAAACAGCAAATGAAAAGTTCTATATAAATGTAAGCAATTATTAATATAACATACAACATAGCAGTGGTATGGCCATCTTTTAAGCATCCTGGCCCTAAGTAGTCACGTGTACATTTTCAAATATATATGTTGATGTACAAAACACAGGATTTGCAGGTCAAAGGTTTTTTTATTGTTACTGTTGTCCCGATATCAAGCTGGTATAGCAGATGATCTCCCTCTGGTGTTTCATGCTGATCTCACAGCTCACCTCTCCTTGACGATGTGATCCAGTTTGTAGCTGGGCTTGTTCTCCTTCAGTCTTTGGACTCCAGTCCATTCTGCTTTAGCGTATGCCTTGCGCAACTTTCTCACAAAAACCTGAGCGAACACAGAGAGAGCACAGCGACGTCACCGACAACATTTTAATTGAGACTTAATGGAATTCAGAAGGAAAATTTGGGAGGGTGACAACAACCAAGTTCAACTGGACATTATCCCTTTCTCTCCCTCATATACATCTTTTTGCATCACACCTCCACCGGGCAACCAACCCCTAAGCAAACCCCAACCCGCAAGGGGGGCCCAACCAACCCAACCTGGGAACAAGAAGGTGGGCCCCAACCAAAAGGGGTAAAGCAAAACTTGAACAAAAAAAAACAAAAACCCCCAAATACACTGAATTCTTGGTTGTTGCTATTCCTAGGGAATCTGTTCATAGTCCATTTTGCTTTTCTTTTTGAAGACATGAGCCTGGTGCAAAACCACAGGAGACTTCCAGAGCACATACAGCACACCCCACAGATTCCTAGGTAAGATGACGGAAATGAAAAGATTAGTGGGGTTGGAGGTACCTTGTACTCCCTGAACTTTCTGACGATGGGCTCGTGCAGAAGGAAGCGGATGTCTTTGAGCAGGTAGAAGGTGCGTGGAGCTGTAGAGCCCTTGTTGACCTTCTTCTTGTGTTTGGGCTCATGGGGGTATATTCCCTTGAGAATGCAGAGGCGCCTGGAGAGAGGGAGCAGGGGGTTATTCAGGGAACAGGGGTCTGTGGGGACATCAGCACCTTAACCTCTATTGAAGAGCAGTCGGACATGAACAGCAACCCACATCAGAGCCTGAAAAATCCCTGCTTCGTCAACTACTCCCTTCCACTCTGTTTTTGCTTTATTCAACTAAATGGGCCTACGGGACAAGACTCCACTGCTGCTCTGAGATCTTAATGCACAAAATTGCACCCTTGACTTTTATCATAACTAACTCATATCTGTTGATATCATCAATACAACCAAGTATGACAACTTAGTCAAAGCCTGAAGAGTGAAGAAGCTGCATACTTTGTTGAGCCAGTGTTCACTCACTAACTTAAACACAATCTGACCCTTTTAAAAACGGTCTTTCATGCTTGCTCTTTTGTCGTTAAAAACTAGTCAATTAACATTAAGAAGCAATCAAAATGAAATTCAGGCAAAGTAAATACAACATTCCTACCTGAAGTCAGCCAGGCTCAGCTGCAGTTTCTTCCGTGCTTTGTTCCTGGTGATATAATTACTGGCGGATCCCCTCTCATACTGCAATGAAAGAAAAAAGATCATGAACTTAATAAAAACAAAAATGATCAAAGTCAGGGAAAGCGTTTATTTTACACGCAAGCTAAAACTCGTCCGACTCGAGACAAGGTCGATGTTTAAGTTTAATAAACATTTACTGATAGAAATGTGCATTTCAAGTAGTATAAAAATAACTTTAAACAACCGAATAATTAGTAATAGTAACATCGGGGGTTTTAAAGGATCTAAATGTCTGTCACTGAAGTTAAGGATTTTATTTCCACTATGAACTATATAGTCATGTTAAATGGACAAGAACTCTCCAGGGGTTTTACATTTCGAACAAAGTCAGTATGCAATATCACCAGAAACTTGGATATGTTTTCAAGTAACCAGAAAAAACGTTTTCATCTCCACTTCTCTTTAATTATTGAGACGGTCATTGTGTTTTATTTACTCCATAAAGTATCCACTGTATTAAACTTAAATTGATGCAAATCTAATTAATGTTGTATTCGACATGTCATGGAACTTCACGTACTGTAACATCATAAGATGTACCAGCAAAGGACCCTTATGTATCTGAGCATACGAATCTCAATGAAGACCCTTTAAGAGATCTTATCCAGACCATTAATACATCCGAACTGCATCACCAGTGACACTAGCTTACATTTATTACATTTAGCGACTTTATAGTACAGTAAAATACCGCAAAATATAACATCGAGACATTACAAACGTCTTTATACGTTCTCCACAGCGACAATTCAGAAATCAGTTCATGCTGTCTGATATGATGGTAAAACCGTATTATGCACATGTTTAATAACGGAGTCCAAAAGTGCCTTCAGATAATAAAACACAGAAACATACCTTCTTCTTTTGAAGACCTCCCATTTCTACGATTTATCAGGAAAACAAACTTAATTGAACGAATAACTTTCACCACCGACAACAACCCTACATACACTCAGACACGTGTCGGATGTGCTGCACTGTAAGGACCCGTATCGTAAGGAACTGTCCTGTGTGTTGCCTGTTCACAATTCACACATCGATGGTATATCTCGCAGTTTTATGGTTTAATATAACTCTTTGAAACGTATATAATATATTTATTTAATAAAAATTAGTGTCCAAAATGTCAGTATTTCCTATCTTCACTATCTAAAAATAACATTAAAAAAGGATACGAATCGGGCGACCTACGCGTGTATGTTTTCTGGTTGGATGCTTGAAACTAGATTTTGTACGTCAGGTTGTCTGTCATAGAGGCACACAGGCATGTGAATGCTTATGAAAATATTCCTAGCTCATTAAAATTAATGACTTATTATATACCATCGAGATTTACGTACAAAGGTTGAAAGTAAGCAAGTAGACAGGCCATTTCTGTTTCTGACGTCCACTTTGTGCTGTGTCTAGTTGTATTCACCTCAGAATTCCCGATTATGTTGGGTACTTGTCTTGTGAGACTGGTACTGTTTTACTAAATGTGTAATGTTTTTATATCCCTATTTCATAAATTTTAAGCTCTCTCTCTCTCTCTGGGTTTAGTTAAACATTGTGATCCACATTAATGATAGCGACGGAGTCAATTTCCCACTTGATACCATGACCATGCATTAGGAAGTGGTTACAAGCAGCTGCTACAGGGTGGAAGAGCTTTTGAGTATCAACCCTTAATGTAGTGGTTTTTAAAAGCCCTTCGTCGAAAAACGGGTTATCAGATGTTTGCTTGAACACAAGCATATTTCTTTTGTGCTACGATTTCTCTTTAGAAAAGAGACACAACTCAAGCAAAAATGGGCGATTTTTCCACTCCACAAAAGGAGATCACATCACATAGAGATCTCAACATTTTGATCCATCTGTGCATTATAAATAGCTAGTAGGAGTAAGGAATGGGTGGTGGTGGCCTGAGAGTATTCAGCAAGGAATCATTTAGACCAGGACTGGAACAAGAAATCCCAATGGATTAGAAAACAGCTAACGTGATGTCATCAGAGTATGAAACACAAAAGGGGGAGGATGGCCAACATGCAAATTTAGACTGGGCACTAGGACAAGACAGGCAAAGAGATAAAGAAGAAAAGGAGATCCAGAGGTGGAGACAGAGAGTAAAATTTGCAAAGCCCAAAGGAGGAGTAAGACAGATTTAGAGCATCAGTGCGCCACACTACACCTCTGCTTCCAGAACCAGATCCCAGAGAGGAAATCTGTATACAATGGGATTAAAGGAGCTCATTAAGGACTTTTATGTTGGATTCTGGGATTATGAGACTCCGAAGATAATGGTGGTGAAAAACCAAACTCTCGGAATCATTTACAGAATTGTGCAGTTCCTGGTAATCACCTACTTCATATGGTAAGTTTAATTTGGTTCTAAAGCCTGACATCCATAAAAAGAATAATAAGTGCTTTGGCAATTGGGTGATACTGAAGTTGTTTTATGACTGACACAGTAATACAATAGTATAGAGCATTGCAGCCTGGTATAAAGACTCAAAATAAAGCAGATGTTCATATCCTTAATGTGGTTTCTAAATAACTTGGACTTCTAATGAACTCTAATGGACACTTTTTCCTTTTTGCACTCCCACAAAATGCATGAAAATGTGTGTTGGTTCCTTCTAAAATGTTATTGTAGTGCAATTTGCTATAGGCAGAGAAAGGCAAAGAGGCAGAGGTGTATCAAGGTTCAGTGAAATCATGACAAAAGCATCATAAGGCTTAAATTTTGTCACACATACTATGGTACTGTACAAATCATGGAAATCCATTCCAAAGCAATGTGGAAGCATGTTTATGGTATAGTAAAAGCATTGAAAAACTGTAAAATAAATAAAGTAAATACAGTAAATTTCCATAAGCTTTGAAATGGTTGGCAGTCATCCAAAATAAGATTCAGAAGAAAGCTTTATAAAACCATAACACACATCAGATATTTACGTATTTTTGGGTTTCAAAACACTTACTGTATAATTGTATAATTAAACAAGATATTTTAAAGGATGCCTGAATGTAACCTCATCTATAATTAATACCGATGCTGACAAAAACTTTGCTAGCCACTAATCGATTTATAACTGCAAACTCTTGGTGACTGTTACAGATCAATACATTGTAAATGAAACTACTGTCCCCGTTTCACATTTGTTTTTATAATGGTTTCCAGCAGGTCAGTAAACTGTAGGTCAGGATAAAATGCTACAGCGTTCAACATAAATCAGGAGGTACAAATAGTCTGAAAATAATGCTGTTGTTGTTGTTGTTGTTGTTGTTGTTGTTGTTGTTGTTGTTGTTGTTGTTGTTGTTTATACTTACAATATAGAGCTCAGCATGAAATTAAATAAATATATATGGTTTGCCAACTATGTCATAGATCATAGTAACTTTCTGGGATTTCAGAGGAAATGCATTTTCAACTAATTAACATTTTATCAACATTATTTAAAAAGTATAGCTATCTGGTAATCATCCCCATTGTTCTGCATATTTAGAAGTGATATTAACATATTTGTTAATGTTCTCTCATAGTAGCCCTAATTAGGGTAATGACATGGAGGGGATGCATATGCAAGCTGCCAGAGCATGTTCTAAATTACCTAAAAGCTCTTGAACACAATCATTTTGCAAAATCCCGGGAACATTAGAAGGAAGTCATCAAAAAACGATCTTGTGCGGATAACTTTTAACACATGTGTGTCAATAAGCAGTGGCTGATCTTTCCTTTTTAACATCTTCATTTCTTTAGAAGTGTTGCCCAGAGTATCAAGATACTAATATAGCATTCACCCTAAATAAGCTATTGCTGTTTTTGTGCATCCCTAGTGGAGGAGAAATATTAACCATTAACCATCACAGATGTATGGGTTATGTTGGTGGCACAGCGGTCCAGTGGTAAGCATTACTGCCTTGCAGTGTTGGAGCCTTAGGATTGGTTCTGGACCAGGGGTGCAGTCTGTCTGGAATTCGCATGCTCTCCCCAGGTCTGTAGGGAGGTGTTTCACTTGCCTCCCGCAGTTCAAAGACATACTGGTAGGTTAAGTGGCCTCTGGGAAAAGCTGGCCCTGTTGTGAGTGTGTCCGTGTCTGTGTCTTCTGTGTGTCCTGCGATGGACTGGCGTCCTGTCCGGGGTGTATCCCACCTTGTGCCCATTGCTTGCCAGAGTAGGCTCTGGCTCTCCTGCGATCCAGAGTCGGATGAGGTGGTTATAAAATGGAAGGATGGGTGTTAGTATTCTTGATAGTGATGGTAAATAGGCATCTATTTACTGATGATTACATTCTGAACCTTCTAGTATTGTTGACATTTATCCCTGGACAGGTTTCCTATCTTTTGCTTTCAACACAGAGAAATTTAATAGAGTTTTGGATCAAATGTGGTATATTTCTGTGTATCAGTGTTATTTTGTCCTCCTTGACATCATGCAATCCAAAGAGCCCCACAAGACCGACAGTATGAAGGGTGCTGCTGTGGATTCTGCACACTGCTCAAAGGGGCACATCCAGAACACCTCTTTGGCTTCCCTGACAGGTATGTGTTCATCAGTCAGAAGGCCTACCAAGAGAGTGAGACGCGCCCAGAGAGCTCCATCTACACCAAGATGAAGGGGGTCGCCCTGGTGGGGGACACTGTGCAGGATGTGGTGGAGTACGTCAGGCCGTCGGAGGTAAGACCTGTCGCCAGCGCTCCTACACGGCCACCGACAGAATGAGGGCGAGGAGCACTGCGGATTATCCCTCAGACTGTCGCCCGGAGACGCTGACTTCTATGTCTTTCAGTTGCTGATGCATCACAGAGCAAGAGAAGAAAAAAAACCCACATAAACGTGTGATATCCTAAGTTGCACCATCCATATGTGCAGCTGAAGAGTTAATGAGTTCATTTATATTACATATAAAAATATAGATGGATATCTTTTCTTATCTTTCAAGCCTGTTACTAGAGAATTTTCTTTTTAGATAGTTTGGATTTAACCTGATCCCTTTTTCAAGTGTACCGTACGTATAACTCAGTTCAGTTTATTTGTCATACCCACAAGTGCAATGAAATGCTTACCACTGGGCTGCTTTATGGTGATTCATTATGTTTTGGGCTCAACCCAGACAACTTGAAAGACGATTCTTTCCTATCCAGGGGGGCTGTTTACTGAGAGAAATTCCCAATTCCTCCACCCTACACTGCAGGCTGGCCCTGAGCTGTCTCCTTTGGGACACACAGACATATCCTCCAGTGGGAAATCCCAGGCCAGGGGAAATAATGGACCGCTTTTCCTTGTTTCCTACTCAGGGCGGTGATGTCATCAGCTCTATCCTACGGAGAGAGATCACGATTGACCAGAGGCAGGGTGTGTGTGCAGAGGTAAGGCCAGACTGCAGCCTTCAAGGCTCTCCTGTTAAGAGGGTCATCCCAGACCTAGAAGCACGACAGCAACAAACTCCTTAATGATTAAATCACACAATGTGACAAGAATATTGACAAAATTCAGTGGAATAATGAAGCAGCACATTCTGACCACATCCTGAAACAGAGTGGAAAGAAATCCAGTTTGGGCAAAATCTGTGCATCACAAGTTTGCATAGTTTAAATTGTTTTGTGTGGAACAAGAGCCTAATGTCAACTCAAGAATGCTGCCATTTAATCATGAAACTGACATGACATTGCTAATGTGATGCATGAGGCTGATCTCTCTCTACTTGTCTTTCATTAGCATTACTCAGTCCCAGGTGCTAACTGTACAACTGACAGCGACTGCATTGAGGAGGATGCTGATATGGATGGCAATGGTAAGGACCTTAAGGGTTATTAAGACAAACCAGACTGTAAGTTTCTATCATCATTCTTTTGGTAAAGACTAATGAATGCTGGAGCTGCTTTTTCCAGGGAAATACTGGCTGCACTATGAAGATGACTATGAAATCATTTTACACTGTAGGGCAAAGTTCTAACCCTTCTTTCCTACAGAATGATACATGCTGAAAAAATCCCAAACCCAAAGTGACATCTGAGCAATGGAATAATAATAATACAAATTGTAATGACGACTGTCTGTAAATGGGAAGTGTGTTTTGCTCTGGAGCAAGAGAATCAAAAATCACAAAAATCAGTTTCCAAATCCGCAGAATAGCAGATTGACAGAAATGAAAGAACAAGAAATAGAAGCTCTCAGGAGGCCACCAGGCAAAGGGAGCCCACTGTAGATTGGTTTGAATGAGCTGTGTCCTCTGTCTGCATGTACAGGAAAAAGGACAGGCCGTTGCGTGCCATACTACAACCACACCTTCAAGACCTGCGAGATCAAGACGTGGTGCCCTATCGAGGAATTTGCTGCTGTCAGGTACCTTTCAAACAGGTGCTTAAAAAGCAGCTGTTTTAAGGAATTAGAAAATAACTTGGTGTAAGATATAATGATCTGTTGGTCACTGTGTATATACTCTGTGTGACGACTGAATGCGTTTCACTACCTCTGAATTTAATTTTGTTTTTAAAAACATTTCAGTTTTTACCCACCCCACCCCCAAAATTTTGAAGTTAAAAGTTATTCATCATTTCTCCTTAGAATGCTTCTCATAGATGCACAAGTGTTGCTCTGACCCTGCAGGAGCTTTCTTATTACGAAGTATTGCTCTTTAATGCCATCAGCTATATCACCTGCAGCTCATAACTGACAACTCAGTGAAGCTAAGCAGGCGTGAGCCTGGCTTGTACCTAGGAAAACCTCAAACCTGGGCCAGTATCTCCTGGGAAAGCTAAGGTTACTGGTGGAAGAGGTGCTAGTGGGACCAGTAGGGGGCGCTCACCCTGCAGTTTGTGTGGGTCCTAACGACCCAGTATCGTGATGCAGACATAATGCTGTAAAAAAAAAGTTGAGGCGTAAAACCAAGATCCTGGCTCTCCATAATCATGACAAATCTCAGGGCGTTTCTCAAAATGAGCAGGGATGTTACCCCGCTGTCCTGGCCAGATTTTCCCCTCGCCATTATTTCCCCCATCTATGAATCGGCATTATTATTAGTAGTATTAGTAGTATTATTATTAACTGTATTGTGACAATGAGGTAATTACTCTGATTGCTCTGAGAGATGTGTTGGACCCACAGGGGGCTGAAAGGGCAGATCCTAATGCCTCTTTTTCCTCTTGCAGGGAGCCCCCATTGGAGGAAGCAATCAACTTCACTGTCTACATCAAGAACACCATCCACTTTCCCAAATTCAGAGTGCTTAAGTGAGAAGCCTCCTCCTTTCCTAAAGCGCAGCTCGGATGAGACAGATGCCTGGAGTGTGCTTGCACTGTTCCATGTGGAACAAAGAGGTTCCACATTGTCTGAGTGTGGTTTTGAGTTTATTAGCTACGCCTGTACAGCAGAGTGACTGAAAGGGTCAGAAGGAAAGAAATCTGATGCATTTGCCATTACAGGGATTCTGTTTGAAATCGGCCATCTCTTTTTCTGTCATGAAGTGGGGATGAATTGAAATTGATAGATTAAGAAGGTAGTATGGGTGAGTGGGTGTTGAGAACTTTGAGAAGACTTCTCCACAAGTGCTATCCTGTGGGGAACAAAACAAACATGTGTACAGTCAGAAAATTAAAAAAAAAAGCTGCATTGCAACTGATAACTTGTTGACATCTTTGACAAGACTGAATCACACCTGATGTGTTGTTTTCGCCCCCAGAGGAAACGTCAAACCCAATCAAAAGAGGTATCTGGAACGCTGCACATACAATGAAGTCAAAGACATCTACTGTCCAATCTTCAGGCTGGGCTACATTGCTGAGCAGGCCAGGGTGAAGTTCAGCGAGTTGTTGGAGACTGTAAGATGATTTCTGGGTCTATGAAGTTCCCTCTGTCGACCTGTGCTGAGAGCTCAGATATGAATGATGAAGTTATCAGCCGGTATTGCCAATCCACAACATCCCCCTGGTCAGGATGTCATGAAATAATTTCCCTGGGCATCTTAAAAATTCAGTGGAAACTCACTCTAAAGCAAACCCTTCTTCAGAATATTCAATGTGTTTGTTAAAGTCCAGCTCCTTCATTGCCTTATTAAACTGTTTATCACCTAATCAACATGCCAGGGTTCTGTAACCATTCGATAAGCATCTCAGAGCCAGAGAATTAAAATGATTATAACAACATGTCTTTAGACTCGCAAAAGTAGATTTAATGTGATGTGGCATGCAGCCAAGACAGTAAGAAACTCTGCATGTGGAATTCTGCCAGGGAGCTGTGATCGGGGTCTTCATTAACTGGAAGTGTGATCTGGACCTGGACCCCTCGGAGTGTATCCCGAAGTACGCTTTCCGGCGGCTGGACATCCGCAAGGACCCTTTAATCCGTGGCTACAACTACAGGTGAGCCGGGTCGGGAAGTAAGCTAATTAATTGGCATTGGCTACATTCTCAGTGTCTACCGGAAACGGTGTGATTGGAGGAATGAGCTGTCTTCTACATTTTCTTTCTGATTCAGGATTGACGGTTTTTTAATTGTTCCATAGGTTCGCCAAGTTCTACAGCAGGAACGGCAGCGAGTTCAGGACTCTGATCAAAGCTTATGGGATAAGACTTGATGTTATCGTCCATGGGGAGGCAAGTTTTTACCCCCATCTTTCAAGTCATTTGAGTCATTCTGAAAACACCCACCCAGCTGTACAAGTACATGCATGTGAATTATTCAATTGAATAACCAATACATAGATAGATCTCTAGATATATGTGTGTGTTATATATGAAAACCAAAGTAGTATTAACTTATATTGCTGTTCTGTTCACTCAAAACAACTAATCAAGATTCCAATTACCAGACAGTTTTTACCCATTTAGACAGATGAAGTCAGCAGTTTTGTAGGGCCCCAGAAGCAGAATTTGGCACCTCTGATCTAACTTACCTTGCTTAATGATAAAGGAGTAATGTTCTCCCTGTGATTTTTGCCCTCAGCTTTAAGGTCAGATGTTGAGAACCCTCACCACTATTTCACACTGCCACATGGCATTTAACACAGCTTTTCTGAGTCTCTTTTAAAAAGTAACAGAAAATAACTATGTATTCAATAAACAGGAAACTTCATCTCTAGTCATTCATCCATCAATCAGGCTATATGAATTTTAAATAAAATATGCAAATACACTATTACAATCCATGTTTAAAAGAATGTCTAAAATATATGGAATTAAGGAATATAATTATGGAATATAAGGCAGAATTAAAAGTCTCTTGATTGGTCTGTTTTCAATGTTGTGAAATGGAATGAACTCGGCTTATATGAACATTACTGACTGAAAAGTGTGTCCTGCTGATTCATTAACTAGATGTGCAGTTCTCCCACTGGATCCAGTTATACTCCTTGAATTGTGTAAGAAAAATGTCTGCAGTATTCTTGTCCTTTTCTTTTGCTGCGGGGATGATGCAGCAGGCATGATAAAAGAGAATTGTCTTCTTCACAGGCTGGGAAGTTCAGCATCATCCCCACAATTATCAACATGGTGACCGCCTTGACATCTGTGGGAATAGTAAGTTTCACCGGCTGGAATTGTTGCTGGATTTCCGGCCACCGGTTTGCAGTTCAGACTGGTAGGATGCAAAACAGAGGAATTTCTTTTACTCCTCTTAACGTTTCATGTTACTTGACAAAAGAAGCTTTGTGAACTGAAATAATTTCATTTTTAAATATAATTCACTTTGTTACTTTGGTGTTTCTTCAGCTGGTTATTCAGCTGACTTAGTGCTGATCTTAGTCCTAATCTACCTCTTAAAATCTCTCATCTGTCTGCAGTGTTCCTTCCTCTGTGACTGGATTCTGCTGACATTCATTGACAAGAATGAGGTCTACAGTGAGAAGAAGTTTGACGAGGTAATAAAGCAATTCTTCTGATGGTATAGAAAAATAGGCTTGCATAGCATAAATTGTTTATTTTAATTCATTTCATTTCTGATCAAATTCCTGAATTCAAAAATATACTAGAAAATATACTAAAAGGCAACTATAATTACTGTACCTGATGTAGCCTCACCCAAGCTGGTGATGATATAGTGTATAGCTTATACTCAGAATGAGAGCCTGTGCTCCACAATAAAAAGCCCCTGAAGTGTGATTATAAACATGAC